TTTAATATGCATAATCTTTTTTTTGTAAACCTGTGCTATTTTTTTAACCCATTAGTGACTAACGTTACATATATGTAACAGTAACATAGATTTAGATAATCATACACGAAAATAACTTTGAACGACTATAATTGGATTTATGCGTACGTCAATACGAGAGTGTATGCATAAACTTTACGACGAAGCGTGGTGGGATCAGTTTACTGAGAACCACCGAAGTGAATAGAAGTTTATAGTTTCTGTGATTTTCTTGTTTGCCCTTTTTTTGCAGTTATGAGAAAGCGCAAAATGTAAGTAATTGTTTTCAAAGGTTTTTTCACTTTTTAGGGAGAGTTTTCGTGCAGGTTTATTCAGTGCTGTGATAACGAAAAATTAAAAAACCAAAACAAAAAAATATTGTGGATTTTCTTTGTGTTTACACCTTTAAAAGTCAGCGTTACATATACGTAACGTTGGTCACTACTATAACAAGTGAACTTATATTTTTCTTTGCTTCGTTTTTATTTATTTAAGTGATGTTTTACGCACTGAAGAGATCCTTGAGCTGCTAGAAGCACAAAGTGACGATGAACGTGACATAGAGAAGATATTTTTAGAGCCACCGGATGAAGAAAATTTTTCAGACGAGGATTCCTCAAATGAAGATGAAGGAGGGACATTGAGAAATTTATCTAAAAGACAGAGGATGACTAATTGTGAAGTGGTATATGCAGGAACGTTCGACGATGACTTCGAAGAAGATAATCCTGTAGCTGAAGATGAGCTGGCAAAATACATCAAGGATGTGCTGGAACATTCTTCGTCGAATGTGGAAACGAACCTTCTTGAAACACCTCCTCGTTTGAAAAAAGGATTGCCTACAACATCATCTTATAAGAACAATACATCGATGACTGAAACTTCGCAATACACTGCATCAAATCCCGTTGAAGTGGCAACAAGCACTCATCAAACTATACCTCTTGTTGTGGAAATGGCGACAAGTTCGCAACAAATGACACCTCCTTTTGAACAAGTGGCAACATCACCTGAATCAACTCCACAAAAACTTCCTGAATCGTATGTGCGATTAACTCCACCGAAACTGCCACGTCGTATGCCACCGAGAATAACAAAACCTCCAGCAAAACGGCAAAAGAAAAGTCAACCAGTTCCAGTCGCTTCAATGAAGCAAACACGGTCACGAGCGATTATGAATAAAGACTTGAATTGGGTTGCACAAGAGGAATATGCCAGACCACTGAACATTTTCCCCGATTTGGTCTATCCAACGGCATATGATATTGCACCTTACACATTTTTTGAAAAATTCTTCGATGGTGAAGTAGTCAATTTGCTGTGTGATCAAACTAATAAATATGCTGTGTTCAAGGATCCAAACAAGCCCAGCCCAGCAATTACACCCCAAGAAATGCGAGTATTTCTGGGGATTCTCATTGTAACTGGATATCGTCCTGCCCCTGCCAAAAGGGATTACTGGTCTGAGGAAGATGACATGGGTAGTCGTATGATTCAAGAAGCCATGAGACGCCATCGTTTCGAAACGATACACACCAACCTACATTTTGCGGACATGTCTCAGTATGATGAGAAAGACAAAATATGGAAGCTTCGTCCACTCACCGACAAACTGAAAGAACGCTTCCGAAAGAACTTTGTCCCAGAGCAACATCTCTCTTACGATGAAAGTATGGTGGAATACTTCGGCCGCCATAGTTGTAAGCAGTTCATAAGAGGAAAGCCTGTGCGATTCGGCTATAAAATGCGGTCGCTAAACACACCTCAAGGCTACTTGATAAATTTCGAGATGTACCAAGGTTCAAATCCGAGGATCAACCCAGCGTACATAGAAAAGTATCCGAAACCAACAGCACCGTCGTCGACCAAAAATTGATACCGAATTTGAAAATTCACGATATGACTGCCAGGCGCATTTCATAGCAAGAACTCCACTTGGAAAGAGACGAAGATGTCAAGGCTCCAATTGCAAATCTAGTGTTACAACAGAATGTGTAAAATGTAATGTTGGAATGTGCGTTGATTGCTTTCAACATTATCACTTTATAGCTATAAACTAAACATTACAGTTTATTTTTTGTTTACTTGTAAGCCATGTACCACTTATTTGCCCGTTTATTTTTTATGTTACTTTATTCAAAGAAAAATCAATATGAGCCTTTTTATATAAAATGGATTATTTTGAGTTACTTTTAATTTGTTTTAGAAATAAAAGTGCTATTTATATTTAATAAATGAAAGTATATACATACTTGCTGTTCATTCGCACAATTCGTATGGAAGTGACCAACGTTACATATATGTAACTGCCCAGTCTGTCTTAACCCCACGCACAAAAAAAACAAAAAAACTTTTTATCAATTTAA